GCACAGGTCCACGCGGACTCTCCAGCCTCTCAGTTCACCACCTCGCCTTCTCTGCCGCTCTCCTGGCCCAGGCCTATCGGTAGCAAGCTTGAGCCGTCCCGAACCGCACTTATCTCGGGTCCCCAAGCTCACACCGGCTCGTGATGCCACGGAGAATGTCTCCGGTGGACCCCATCCGAGGCGATTGCGAGGGCATTCCGGAGGTCATCATCGGCGCCATCGACCGTGATATGTCTCGCCCCGCAGCCCTCATGCACCGAACGGATGCATGCAGTCATAATATGTAGGCCTTGTCTCCCGAAGTTTTGAGCAATAGCCGCAAACAACGCTTTTTGGCACGTGCATCGCGACAAGGTCACACGCGGACTCTCCAGCCTCTCAGCTCACCACCTCGCCTTCTCTGCCGCTCTCCTGGCCCAGGCCCGTCGGTAGCAAGCTTGAGCCGTCCCGAACCGCACTTATCTCGGGTCCCCAAGCTCACACGGGCTCACAACTACCCACACACGGGCCCTCACACGCACAATACAGATCACAGACGCCGCCGGCACGCACTCCCACTTCACACATGCTCAAACCCAGCCCCACCAAAGCACAGCCCTGCTCAGAGTAGTCATGGACCACCCTTTGGGAGCCGTGGAAGCCCCACAGCTGCTGCTCCTCTCGGCTCCTTTCAATGCGTGTCGTGCACCACCCCACGACAGCGCTGCTCGAGAGAGCTCCAGCGTCCTCCCCGTCGAGTACTCAAGCCTGAGCCGAGAACCCCGTGCAGCTGGGTCAGGGAGCCAGCTGCACACCCGGTGGCGGCGGCGGGATGGGCCACCGGCACGCCCTGCGCGCCGCTGTCGAGCGGTGTCGGTGAGATTCAAGCGCAGCGGCCCGCCGGCGGGCACCAACGACACGTCAGACGGCCGCCGACCGGCCTGCGCAAGGGAGGGTGAGGTAGTCGACCAGATGGGTGCGGCAGGCGAAGCCCACGCCGGGTTTGGGGGGCGTGCGGGCCGCGGGACACAAGGCACCGAAGAGGGGCTACTTTAGGTCAGATCCGCTGGGAGTGCCCAGGGACGACGGCAAGAAACCCAAGGGTGAAGGAAAACAAAAAAACTAACGCGGCACACTGGCACTGGACTACAGCGCACCGCTTGCGGTACTCACTATTCCACCGTGCACAGGCGACAAGGCAACACCCCCGCAGAGCGCCCGCAGCGTACATACAGCCAGTCATTTGTGTATGGCGACGTCGGGCGAGCGTTTTGCCGCCGCGGCGTCCGCCGCCTCCGTCTCGCAGCTTCGCGGCCTCAATGCATGGCAGCGCCACCAGCACTTCTTGCGCGTGCGCAACGACGCCTACGGCAGGCGGCAGGGTGCGGCTGCTGGCAGCGCCGAGCGCACGGACGCGGATGTCGTGCGCGAAAAACACCGCTTCCTATGGGACAGAGATGACGGCGCCGCACGCCGGCGGCCGACGTGGGGCGACGGCGGCGGCAGCGACGGGCTGACCTGGGAGGAGAAGCTCGCCAAGCGGTACCATGATCGTCTCTTCAAGGAGTATGCGCTGGCGGACATGAGCCGGTACCGCGAGGGCGCGATCGGCCTGCGCTGGCGCACCGAGCGCGAGGTGCTCGAGGGTCGCGGCCACTTTTCGTGCGGCAACAAGGCGTGCGCCTCCACTGGCCCGCTCACGTCGTACGAGCTGCTCTTTCGGTACGACGAGCGCGGAGCGACCCGCGAGGCGCTGGTGAAGCTGCGGTGCTGCGACGCGTGCGCGTACAAGCTCCACTACCGCAAGAACAAGGAGCGGCGGCGCGAGGAGCGGCGCGAGGAGCGGCGCCGAGCTCGCCGGGAGGGCAAGGCCAGGAAGCGGAGGCGCAGCGAGGGCGGAGGCGAGGGCGACGACGAGAGCGGGAGCGACAGCGGAGGCGCGGCTGGCGGCGCGGCTGGCGGCGTGGCTAGTGGCATGGGCAGGCCGGCGGGCTCGCCTGCTGATGCGCCTGCGCCCGCCACAAGGCCGGGCAGGGGGGAGGGAGCCGCCGCAAACGTGTGGCTCGAGGCGCCGGATGTGCAAAAGACTCGCCGCGACCAGTTCGACGACTACTTCGACGACGTATGCGGTGATCTGTTTTTGTGACTCTGACTGAGTAAAGGGTGTGGACACTGGTTGGGTAGTAGTCTAAGTTCTGAGCCTCGACGCCTAGCGGGTCTAAGTGTGCCTAGGCACGCTGGGGTGCTTGCGCGGTCTAAGAAAGATCAGCGGGAGCCTCTTACATCGGCTAAGTCGGCCGTGGCACGGCCTGGGCGGGCCAAGAGGCTCCCACCGTGATCGATACGGCGCTCCGCCCAAATTTTCTTCGCCTGCGGCGGGCGCCTACTAAAATCCGGATCGATCCTCCTCATGCCTCAGCAATCGCCGCCTCAGCATCCTCCCCTTCCGATTCTCGTTGCTGCCAAACAACAATCTCTAGCCAAACATTTCTTGAGCGCAATCTCTAGCCAAACATTTCTCACAAATAGCCTCAAGCTCAAACAAACGCATGTCACAGAAGCCTATGCTGGTCCTCTTTGAACGATCCGCGCGTGAGGTAGCATAGGACCTTGTTGGCAGCAGCCAGCTTGTTGCGCTGCTTCGTTGCGATGAGCTGATTGGGATCGCAGAAGTGCATATCCATGCCAAGCACAAGCCACGATCTTGAAGCAGAACACATCGCAACCGCATCGTCCGCACTGCCATCGGCATGCCGCGCCCGCCGCTTCGCCGCAGCCGCCTTACGGCACGCATAGCGGCAGCACATGGTACGGTGCGCGTACTTGAGCAGGAATTGCGCGCCGCAAGTAGCGCACTGGCCCTGGGAGAAGGCGATATGGCGTCGTGCGCGCGGCATACGTTGGTTGGGACGCGTCCAGGTATTTCGGGTAAACCTGGACTTTTGCAGGTATACCCGGGTGTTACCCGGAGTTGGCCTTATGTCGTCTAAGTACTAAGTTCATGGCCCCCGACCATACAGCGTCTAAGTCCGAGCCCGGCTCCGTGCGGGGGCTAAGTTGAGCGCTCGCTCGCTGCAGAGGCTAAGTGTAGAGCAACCCTCTAGCCCTACTACCCAACCATTGTGTGGACCCTGAGTTGACCAGGGGTTGTGCGCTGGGCCCTCCTGCTCGGCTCCAGCCAGTAGACAAGTCTTGTCATCAACAGAGTAGAAGGATCTGGCCTCGGGGCCGATGTGACCAAGCGCTGGTAGCGTGGTTTCACCTCACACCCCCTCACCCATCGGCATGGTCTCACAGTGTGGAGTGTGCGCCGGCACGCCGGCAGTCGCCGAGCAGTGTCGCTCACACAAGCCGCAGCACAAGTGACTGAGGGCCAGTGAGGGCGAGCCCATCGCTGTCACAGCTGTGGCAGCCGCACAGTAGGCTGTGTCAACTGTGCAGAGTGTGTGAGCAGCAGAGGAGCTGCTCTCCAGGCTTCTGTCACAAAGAGCTGCATGCCACCGAAAGCGCTGTCGAGGTTCGCCGAGCGCGGTGCAGGTTGAGGGACACCGTCACCGACGAGCGCGTTGGACTTTTCACTCCGGACAAAGACGGCGGCACGCACACGAGCTGCGGCCGTGCCGCCGTCATAGTGGCGAGGCGCGGGACCGTCTGTGGCGAGGTGGGTCGCGTCCCCCCCGATTTCCTCAACTCACGGTCCACACCCCGTAGACGAAATAAATACGGCCCTCTAAGCTCTATGAACGCTGACACCTCTACTAGGAGATGGGTAAAAAGGAATAGGTCCCCACCCGCGCGATCTTTGTGCCGCAGGGAGGGTTCTTTGTTGTGAGAGACGAGATGTGAGACGAGTGCGACTGTGTGCGGACGCGGGGTCGATCGAGATATTGCTCCTCCGGCGGGCTTGAACGACGGCCATCCATTGCGGCCATCCCATCTCTCGTGTGGGGGCGGGCGGACATCGTTGGGCTTTGGTTGCCGAGACGTGTTGTGCCCCTCTCTTATGGTTATTCCGACGTGCAAGCCTCTTCGAACGCGCGAAAGCGCCGGCTTTCGAAACTCGGCGCCCGCCCTCTTTCTGGCCGCGTCCCTCCCCTGACCTCTCGACTGCTTCCCTCTTTTACACACATAAACCCTCCGGATCTTCGACAAACGTCGGAAATTTCTTTTTTCAAAGTGCAAGGTGTGAATAAGAGGTTTATGATAGGGTTACATCGACGAATTATGCGGCAATCGACTGGGCGCCTGGCGCCCGACCACCCACGCGCAGAGACCTCGGTGTAATCCCTCCGCGAAACCGACTTGGACGTGTCCACGCGCCTTGGTCGTCGAGGCACCATGAAGCCGACCCCTCCGTGCCGCCAACCGACGGCAACGGACCCGTATTGCTCTCTTGGGACAGTAAGCAGGCGCGTACGATGGTCTAGTCAATGCACGGCAAGAACATCTGCGATGTGGCTCTGAGCAACCTGCCGTCGAACGCGATCACTGAGGCGATCCGGTGGGGCGATTTCATATTCTCCGGCTCTCGCAACCTCGTCCTCGATCTCGCAAAGGCGCGGGCGACCCCGGCTGTCGCAGGGTCGTTCAAGAAGAGCTGGGGGCGATCGAGGCATCTTTGACGGCTTCTTTGTTTCAGCACTCCAAGTCCACCGCCCTCGCCGTCCCCAAGGCTGATGGCTTCAACGGCTCACACGACGTCCACATGTTCGCGGGGGACTGCAAGGATGCGGCCGCCGCGCGGAAGATGGGCTCCTGACCATGTAAAGCTAGTATTGAGCCGTGCTGTGCTTATCGTGCCGTGCCGTGTAGTGTGCCGCACGTTGCCACACGTCATGCGCCCCTCCTCACCTCCCCGCACCGGCTCCCTGTCACCGGCGCGGTATGCGCGTGCCCGCCGTGCATCGCTCTTCAGTGGGGGGACTGCGAGATGGTCGCCGTCTTTGGCAAGGTCTAGAAGCAGAAGGCGCCGCGTGCCGCAGGCGAGACGGCCGAGCTGCGGCAGATGGAGTCGCTGGAGGTGTGGGCCGCGTCGCTCAAGGCGAAGCAGCTGGCCGCCGCTGGCCACGCAGATCGGCGCGAACAGTCGCTCGAGGGGCTCTACTGACTGGCGGTGCTCAAGGGGAAGGCGCACACGCTGGCCGAGGACACGGTCGTCAACATCGACACCATCCGCGTGGGGGCTATCTCGTGGTCAAGGCGCAGTGGCTCAGGCTCGAGCAACGCGAGTGCGAGGGCAAAAGTGCTTCGCTCCTACACGCTGCTCGCGGCCGAGACGCTCATCATCGTGAACCACATGGTGCGGCTGGCGGGCCTGCGCTTCTCGCCCGGCCCGGGCGGCCCTGCGGACCGCCAGCTGAGGAGCGCGCGAGAAGCTCGATTAAGTATTATATTGGCCAACAGACGCATTTACTCGCTCGAGGCGTGCTGCAGTGATACCAGTCTTATTGAATTCTTTGGAGGTGTCGATTCATATGCAAAAATGTGTGTTAGAGAGCGTTAATATGGCAAAATTTTCTTCGCCTCCGGCGGGGCCGCTCGCCGCGGGGCTAGAGAGTGACTTTTGTCGATGTCGGCTAGAAGTGCTGCACCTTTTTCAGAATTTCACCCCTTGGCATGGATTAATTAATATATGATCGCGTCTCGGGGTGACTAGTTCTAGTAGTCTACGGCGTAGACTACTAGAACTAGTCACCCAGTCTTTCGCTCACAAAAAATAACGCTTTTGTACATACCAAACCATTGTGCATTGATTGATATATTGAATGAAGATTGAATTTGCTTTTTGGGTGTGTTGTCGTGCGTGGGGCGGCACGGAGTTTTTTTTACGTACCCGACACAAGGGGAGGGGGGCCGCGCGCCCCGCGGCCCCTGCGCGGCCTCGAGCGGCCGCTGCGGCAGGCCACGAGTGATCACCTCACAGTGCAGAGGTTGGGTCGCCGAGGTACTTGAATGCAGAGCCAGCCACGTCGCCCGCGCGGACGCCCTCGGCGATGCCCTTGACGAGCGGCTGCGAAAACACGGCGGCAGGGGTGAGAGGTGAGGGCAGGCACACCCAAGCAGGAGGACTCAAAGGGGATGGCTCACGATGGTGTAGAAGCCTGCGGTTAGTATGGCCACCGAGGTGGCAGGTCCCTTGAGCGTCTGGATCGGATCCACCGGATTGGCCTTTTTCCACTCTCGAACGTCCCTCTCGTTCTTGACGTACGCGAGGAACCGTCCCTTTGGCGGGCCCTCTGGTCCTGGTGGCGCCTCCGCCGCCTCCTCTGCTGTCGAGACAGCCAAGTCGTCCTGCTGGCACACTACGCGGGCTGCGCGGCGCGGCGCGGCGCCACGCGCAGCCGGGCGCGTCGGCGTGAAGAAGCAGGCAGCGGGAGCTGCGGTGGCGAGGAACGCCGCGAGGATCACCCTCATGCACATGACTCTATTAGGAAAGAAAGAATTTTATCGACCAACACTTTCGATAGACCGAAAGTAAGATCGTTCGGTGCAGAAACCCCGGCCATGCCCATGTAACGCAATTGTGCTCGATTTTTTTGATTTTTTGGTCGAGAAGTGTCTCCAAGTCTTCTGACCCATCGATGGCCGTCGCCTCGACGCCGCTCGTCGCGGCACCATCGTGCCCGGCCTGGGCGAAGCATCGTCGCGGGCGCCAGCCGCAGTTCGACGGCAAGCCGTGCGAGCCTGCCGAGGAGGAGGACATGTGGCTGTGCCTGGCCGACGGCCGCGCGCGCAGCACCGCCGACCTGAAGCGCCTGGCGACAGCCGCTCGGGTGCGAGCGAAACGAGCAGGAGATGCAGCCGCCGCGAACACGCGCGATCGGCAGGCGCGCGACCAGCGCCGCCGGCAGCGTGAGCAGCACGACCGGCGCGCAGCGCCGGCGGTCGCCAAGACCGTGCGCCCACAACGTGGCCAGTGCGGCTGCCCGGCGCACGCGGTGTGCGGCATGTGCGTCGACCAGGGCAAGCTCGCCGCGGCCGAGCAGGCGGCCATCGACCTGGAGACGCGCTTCCACGCCTCGACGAACGTCGTCATGGACCTGGAGCGGCCCGAGGACGAGACGGCGGCGCTGCTGCAGCGCTGCGTGCACGTCTCCGACGAGACGAAGCGGCGGCTGCTGGGCGAGTGGAGCGACGAGCGCATGGCGCACGCGCTGCCGCTGCACGCATGCGCCTCGTGCGGCGTGCGGGACCCGTCGCTGACGTACACGCGGGTTGACGTGTCGGCGCTGCCGCGTACTGTGTCTGTGCGCGTAGCCGGCGGCGAAGACGAGACGCGGCACGTGTTTGTGTGAGGTTTGGTGGAGGCTGTAGCGTCGTCGCGCGTAAGAAGAGTGGTGAAATTTAGAAAAGGAGTTACGGTGTTGATCGCCGCGGGAGCCCTCTTATAACATTTTGGGAGGACGGTCCTTCCAAAATCCTGCTCGTGCAGGTGTGGACCCTCCCTCCCTGTCCTCCTCCCCCATCCCTCGTTTGGGTTGGGTATATTCTTTCTTTCTTTCAGGACGGTCAGTTAGTCGTGTTCACGCCGGGATCGTGAGCTCCACAACCTGTTTAGGCTCGGACAGTACGCCTGCGGCACTTGGAGCACTTGGAGTGCAGTTGGCAACCTCAAAAAAGAAAGACAGAAAACAGAAGCCAAAGGGAGGGATGGGAGGACGGCACGCCGCCACCACACAGGGATTTTAAGGAGAGGAGTGTGGTGCTAGCCGTCGCCCACCCTAACCCTTGGTCGTCTGCCTCTTTCTATCTCCCTTCGTAGTCCCTCGCCGATTCTTTCTCGCTGCAACCTTCATGCCACCTCGCGGTCGTCCCACTCTCGTCGTTCTCCCTCCTGTCGCTTCCTCCTCTGTCGCGTCGCTCTCGTCTGCCTCGTCCTGCGACGCCGCCGCCGCCTCATGACTCTATACGAGTAATCTTACGGCCTATTTTTTTGTTTTTTTTGCTTATGTCTCCCTGACCAAAATCGAAAGATCTGTCGTGGGCAAAGAAACCAGCACCTCAACCGGCTTCCATGAGCGTCACAGCTCGGTGATTGCGCCGGCCGGACATCACTGTAACGGCCTGAGGGAGGGTGTAGAGGATGTAGAGTGTAGAGCGCTGTAGAGCTGTAGAGCTGGAGAGCGCTGTAGAGCTGTAGAGCTCTACATCCGCCGCGTGACGAGGCGCGTGCGTTGTAGAGCGATGTAGAGGCGCTCTACAACGTGAAATCTCTACAACAAACTCTACATCGTAAGCGGCGAACGAGGCACGTTGGCTCTCCGACATGAGGCGCGTTGCACTTGCCAGTGCTGCCCTGGCCTTCTGTCTGCCCGCCCAATGGGTGGCAGGTGCCTCTGCTGCTGTGGCATGCCTCACGGCTGCGACTGGCCGGCGCCTCGGCGCGTCAGCTCGGCTTGGCGTAGCGATCGTGGCCAGCACAACTCGCCTGGACTCAACGCTCAGCCAGGAGCTCCCGCACGCGCTGGCGCGAGTCATGGCGCATGCAGCGCGTCTGAATGCTCGCCTCGCCTCGCGCAAATATGCGACCGTTCTCGCAGCCGACAGTCCACCGCCTGCTAAAGAAGCACTGCGATGAATGCGGCACCGGCGACGCATGGCAGGCTGGTCATGACGCAGTTATAGGGTGTTGTGTGCCGTCAGAGGGACTCTCTGTGTGTCAGTGATAGTCAGGGCCGTCCATCGGGGCTCCAGTAAGCTCGGAGACACCCCATTAGTGCGACTTGACCTCTTTGAGTCACTGCCTTCCCGGGGCGGTTTGGAGTAGAGCCTCTACAACAAACTCTACAACAAAATCGCGCTCTACATCGCTCTACAACGCACGCGCCTCGTCCCGCGGCGGATGTAGAGCTCTACAGCTCTACAGCACTCCAGAGCGCTCTACATCTCTACAGCTCTACAGCGCTCTACACTCTACATCCTCTACACCCTCCCTCAGCTAACGGCCGTTCCGGGCATTTGATCGCGACCTTCGGGGGCAAAGACATGGGCTCTACGGTATGGCTCAGACTGGACTCCTCTTGGTCCCTTCTGATGCCCTAGGCCACACCTGGGCCTTACCTGGGGTGGTCCTAGGGGGCGGTCGGGGCAGGGTCGGGGGTTGCCCCCCGAAACTGGCATGAGGAACCTTAAATGATAGTACGGAGGCAGGTGTGGTCGGAGGGCGCTCGGGTCCACCCGGGTAGGATTCCTACTTCGTTGGAATGCGGAGAATAGCAACTGCTCTCTGTAGTGCTCCCATCTCCACTTCTTCACAGGCAGGTCATACTGACCTGGGGGGGGGCGTTGCCGTTGGAATGGCGAATGCGCAATGCGGAGCTCTTCGCACTCTCTAGGGGTTGGAGCGATGTCTCGCTCCACTAGTCGACCTCTCGTTCGTACTCTCTGTTTGTCTTGCGTGACACTTGTGCCTCCACACTGTCCGGTGTGACTCATCGTGTCACGCACGCCGATGCGGCTCGCTTAGTTGTTCGTCGGCGGCTTCCACGTTCCAGCTCTCTTTCTGCCCTTATCTGTACTTGGCCTATACTACTATCTCGGCCTCCTCCGCGCGCCGCCGGGCGCGAGTGGGAGCCCTCGTGCTCCCGCAATCAAACGTACTGAGTCAGGGATGGAATTCCTCGAGCTCTGTACAACGGTACACCCCCGGTGCGAGTTAATGCGCATATCTTCTCTGCGCTATAGCCCTTGTGAGAAATAGCTCGCATTTGCAAACCTGTGCCTGTGTCCTAGGAAGTAGACTAGGAGGGGTACTCCCATAGGCAAGAAGAGGTCTGGAGAGGCCCACAGCGGTCAGGAGAGGCCCCAAGAGGGTGGTAGATGAGAGTCAGCAGAGCGCGCCGTCTCGGCGGCTATGGCACAGTGGGCTGAGAGACAAGAGGGATTTTTCTCTCGGGCGGAAGTGGAAGCCCCGACTTCTAATAAATTGTGACCTCTCCTTCCTGAGTCACCAGAAAATCCCAACGATCCTTGAGCGGAGGCCGCCTTGGCCCCCTTTCCGACCTCGTCGTCGGAGAATCTGAGAGAATGGCTACCAAAGCCCAGCATGGCACCCGCGGGCAAAGCTGCCCCCATGTCCCTAGAGCCCATGGGCATTCCCAAAGGATATGTCAGCGTGAGGTGAGCTGAGGGCGCAACGGTGGGGGCTCTCACCAGCCCCTCAAAGTCGGGCCTCTCGGGCGGCGGTCAGAGGGGCGGGCAAGGGCACGTGGGAGAAGGGTCAGTGCGGCCCACACGGTGTGAGCTACCCCCTCTCCTAGGTAGGTGTGGCTCTACAGCCCCTGAGGCCCTCTAGGCTGGGCACCATCAGCTTGGGCACAGAGGTCCTCGGGGTGAGGAGAGAGGGAGCTCCCCTTTTCAGGCCCCCAACCGCGCATTAACTCGCACCCCAGTGTACTCGAGTGCCTATTGCAATAGGAGAAACATGACAGTGAATCACGGGCCGGCAACGCTGTCTGTCCATGTTGTTTGTGCCATGTCGGGTCGGAGCGTACGTAGCGGAGTGGGACTCGAGTTTGAAAAGGGCGACGGACGCTTGCGTCCTAGCCTCCAACAACGCCTCCCCGGCGCAGAGGGGCCCCCGGAGGATGCTCAACCGCTCACCCCACGCCGCGCTTGCGGCGGCGCACTTGGAGCACTTGGAGTGCAGTCATCAACCGCACATCCAGGGCCGGGGAGCTCAGAAGCGCACCCAGCGGGCCGGATGATTGGGCTCGACTCGAATTCTCGACTTTGATGTGGCGGAGGACACATCCATCCTCCCGCTGCGTTGCCCTCTTGCTCGTTACTGCTGGCTGGCTCGCAGGCCGCTCTCTGATCATCGCCAACTCGCCCCCACATCACCAACTGCCCGCCGCGGCGGCTACCACGCCGCTTTTGCCACGGCAGTCTTCACCAGCGTCCACCGCGCCAGCAGCTCGCACGCCACGCCCCTCAGCGCTGTCGTCGCCGCCGTCGCCGCCGGCGCCACAGCAGTCGCTGCCGGACGCTGGGGCGGTGCCGCGGCGGCCCGAGATGGAATGCATGGGGTCAGATGGCGAGGCTGCGCCTCTCGCAACGCAGGCTCGCTCATACGACCTCATCACGCTCATTCTCTCATCGCAGCAGTCGGGCCTTGCGCCTGAGCAGCGCCGAGTCGCGGTGCGCCGGGCGTGGGCTCGGGCTGCCGGCAGCCTCGGCCGACCGGCGGGCGAGGCGCGCGACGGCCGCTGCTCGGTGCGCCACTTCTTTGTCCTCGGGGGCGCCAGGCGCGAGAGGCTGGGCGGCGGCGGCGACCTGCTGTTTCTTCCGGTGGCGGACGACTACCGCAGCCTTTCGCGCAAGGTGCTGGCCGCGTTCGAGTGGACGGCGCGCTCCGTGGCCTTCAAGTACCTCCTCAAGACGGACGACGACGCGTTCGTCTGCGGCGCGCGGCTCATCTCGCTGCTCGCGCCGCTGCCGCGTCTCGGCCTCTACCTGGGCGCGCTCACGGCGAACAAGACCGTGGTCACCTCTCGCGCGTCGCCATCGTACGAGCGCTGGTCTGACCCGGAGTACGTGCGTATCTTCGGCTCGGCGGTGTATGCGCCCTACATGCAGGGCGCGGGCTACGTCCTCTCTGCCGACCTAGTCTCCCTGGCGGCGCGCCATCCCCCCGGCCCGCAGCCTCTGGACCGCTCGGTGGCTCAGCGGTGGCCGTCGCGCCCTAGGTGCACCACGCGGCCGTCTTGCCCGAGCTGCCGCCGATTGAAGACGCGCTCGTCGGGAGACTCGTCGCGACCGGCGTGAGGACACGGAGGAACGCGCCGAAGCAGATCCGGTATCGCACGCCGGCCAACCGCGCGAGTGCGGTCTGTGAGCGAGACACCGAGTTCGTGCTCCTGCACAAGCTAACCCTCGAGGAGCTCGAAGGGTGCGCCGCCACCACTGCTCGCCGCCGCTCGAACCGCTGCCCGCGCGGCCCGTGCGAGTGTCGTTCCCTCGGGGTCCAGTTGCGGTTGCGACAAACGCTTGTGTCCGCCGAGCCAAGCCGCAACTCAAGCCGACGTCGAGAGTAGGCACGATACAGGTTGAGCTCCCGTCCGGCCGTCCGCGCGCGTTTCTTTCAGGAAATATTGTTTAATGCAAAACAGCAATGTAATATAATTAACACCACTGGCAAACGAGGGAGTCTCTGTAGAGAGATGTGAAGAGACATAGGAAGAGAGACAACTCTGTGACCCCCGCCGGTCCCCGCGAACTGACAAGGATGTTGACACACAGGCGATAGCCGGTACACAACGCGACCGGGAATCCTTGCGCCGCCGGCCGCGCGCGAAACCGTTGTGTGTAGCAGACTGCAGCTGCTGAATTCCATCCGGGGCCGCTCAATGGCGAATGGGCCTCAACCTTGTTCAGATGCGAGCAACCCCTTGCGCACGCCGCGCCCGATAGCGTTGGCAATGGCCTGCCGCTCGCGTAAATGCGACACGCCAAGCTCGCGAAGCTTCGAGAGGAACGCCGGCCGGTCGTGGAGACAGAGCGCGATCGCCACTGCAAGCGTGGTCTTCCGACAAAGCAATCGGCTCGTGGTCGCTGCCACTTCGCACGCGTCGAGGAGCGCCTCGAGCTCGGGGTCGCGAGGGCCGAGGCCACTCCCATCGTCAAAGACCTCGTCGCCATCCTCGAACACGTCAAAGACGACCTCACAGCGCTGCGAGCACAGCCGGCCCACCACCGGCTTGCACGACTCACGCAGCCGCTCTGTGTACGCGTCGATCTCGTCGAGGAGGAGCGGCGCGTGCGCCTCGGCTGCCGCGCGCCGTGTTGCCTCGGTGTCCTCCCAGCTGAGCCCCTGCACCCCAGGTGGAGAGGCGGGTGGGCCCGAGAGCGCGGCCGCCACCAAGCCTGCGCCGCGTGCCGCAGTGTGGTCGGCAACCAAGGCTTGCAGATAGGCCACTGCTGTCAGGCCACATACGCAGGGGTCGTGCTGCATAGGTGCTGGCATGCGCCATATCTCGGTGCGCTCGAGCTCGAGCTCGCAGAGCTCGGTAAGGCGCTCCGCAAGCGCGGCACCGAAAAGGCCAGCGGCATCTGCATTGATCTCGACGTCGCCGGACGGGTCATAGTGCTCGACCAAAAACATGCCGTCTCGCCACGACGAGCGGCGCCATGCCACCGCCGACCAGTGGCCACCCCCGAGAGCCACCTCCGCATCGTCGTTGTCATTGACCAGTGCGATGACCAGCTCTGCTGACTGGAGCCTTGCGCGCATCCCGGCGCACTGTGGCCCGCTGAAGAGAGCTTCGTACTGCTGGTCGTAGTCGCCCAGCTTGACGAGCTGGGCTGCAGACACGTCGAGGAGGACGATCCGCTGCATGGCCATCTCGTCGTCTGGCATGCGATCCTCAAGCACGGCCTGCAGCAAATCGCACGTGGCCCACTCGAGAGGACGGAGCCCGCGCATGCGGTCGTTCTCACGACTGTCCGCCGCCCCGTCCTGCTCGTCGGATCCTGAGGCGTCGTCCCCGCCCACCAAGAGCGCCCCCTCGACAGCGTCGCCAGTCTCACCGGGCTCTGTGTACGACCAATTGCACTCAGACCCCGTAGTCTCGGATGCGACACTTGTTTCGGAGCGCTCTTTGGCCGACTCGCTTGGGACCTAACGACGTGGAGCATATCTCATAGTACAGAACGGTCCGCGTACCTGCTCGTGCAGCGCGCCTCCATGCCTCCTGACTCGAAGTAGGCGACAAGTTGCTTGTCGCTCCAAGTGGACATGTGCTCCCCGACTTCCAGATCATCCGCCATGCACTCAGCCTGCAGCAGAAACGGAAGGGTCGATCACAGTGAATGCGGCGCAAGGCGGGCCTACGAGCGGGGGTGCTGTCGTGGGAGGTGAGCGGGCCGTCGTGCGCGGGGCGCTCCGCCTGAATAGCGAGGACACGCTCAATGCGCAAGTGGGCGATCTGCTCGTCAGCAACAGCAAACGCCGACATACACATACCCACTGCGTTCCAGCCACACGCACTTTTAGAATCAGCAAAGATCCGGAGGGCCGGGGCGCCTGGGTCTAAATTTAGTGCGTGTGAATGAACTTACCAAGGTAGTGATAGTTTAGTGCGCTATTTAGTGTGTGTTCGAGTGCGTATATTTAGCACATATTTAGCACATATTTAGCACATATTTAGCACTATTTATCCGCGGAACAGGTGGCCTTTCCCCCTCCCCCGGCCTGAGCAGCGACGGGTGGGCCGCGAGCGGCCGCGAGCGGCATGTGCATCTCGCACCCCCCCCCGCTCCCCATCGGTGACTCGCGAAGGACACGGACACTCGGGGTGAGGGGGGGTCCCCCAGAGAGGGGGCTTTGGGGCATTGTCGATTGTCGTGGGTTGATCGCTCGTGCCGATCTCGGGTCGATCTCGGGTCGATCTCGGGTCGATCTCGGGTCGATCTCGGGTCGATCTCGGGTCGATCTCGGGTCGATCTCGGGTCGATCTCGGGTCGATCTCGAGTCGATCTCGGGTCGATCTCGGGTCGATCGCGGGTCGATCTCGGGTCGATCTCGGGTCTCGGGTCGGTCTTGGGTCGGTCTCGGAGTGGTCTAGAAAAGAAAAAATGTGGGGCGAGATGAGGCGAGATGAGGCGAGGTGAGGCGAGGTGAGGGGCGATGAGGCGAGATGAGGCGAGATGAGGCGAGGTGAGGCGAGATGAGGCGAGATGAGGCGAGGTGAGGCGAGATGAGGCGAGATGAGGCGAGTGGTGAGATGAGGCGAGATGAGGCGAGATGAGGCGAGATGAGGCGAGATGAGGCGAGGTGAGGCCAAAATGAAGCCAGATTAAGCCAAGTTTTACCTCCGCCCAAATAAAGCCAAGGTTAATGCCAATATAAGCCAAGTGGAAGGCAAAATAAAGCCAAGTGTTGAAGCCCAAATTTATCCCAAGGTGGGGCCAAA